CATTATGTCACTTACCATCCCAAACTCAGTGACTTACTCTGCAGGAGACGGTCAGTCTAGTTATCTCCTTATGAGATGCAATTTTTCATTATTTGGAGCCCTACCGTGGCTCTTGCCAAGGGCTGCAATATAGCCCTGCCATAAATTGGTCTAATGCCTTAACGCGGTTTCTGTGACCTTTCCACGGATGATCCTCATCCACATGGTGACACTTTGTGTCATCTGGTGTTTATCGCTTGTGTGATGTCCTGGTGGGGTAAAAGTAGATAGATAGACTCTGCAGGATTCTGCAGATTATGAAATAAATGGCCCTCAAACTGTAGATTTTTAAAGTATGCTTAACTCTTTCAGTAATAAGCAACACTAAATGTGTGGATGTGTGGTTGTTAACTCTTTAATCCCAACAATCTCATTGTGCGTTCTTTTAATGTTCACATTTAGTCAGGGAAGACTGAGGAAAAAAAATTTTCTCAGTGGGGCGTTCCACGGCGAATTAAAGTTCTTTCGAGTACACAAATAATGGTAATTTACTCCATTAGGCACCTATTTTGACCCTTTTGGGGACTGGAAGAGGCAAATTAAGCACATGATAATAGTTCAGTTAATGTAACAGTAATAGCATTAAACGTCTATGGTTAGGCGCCAGAAAGGAAATCAAAATTAATATTTTGAGAACATGCATCCTACCTGTAGCCATATACGGATGTAAGTCATGATGTAAGTCATGGACTATCGCCCAGTCCTTAAGAAATAAAATAGGAACTTTTGATCTGAAATGTTGTAGAAAGATTATCAGAATACCTTGAACAAAGAAGATAAGAAATACGGACATTTTAAAATATCTGAACATCAAGGAAGATTGGCTAATAAACAGCATCTTGTCTCAGAAGAAAAAATTTTTTGGTCATATCAAGATTGAGTAAAAAAATTATAGCAGAAAGCATTGTACCAGGAAGGAGGGAAAGGGGCCGACCACACCGAAGGGGGCACCAGAAATAAGCGACTCCATGAAAATGAAAGTACACGAGGCGGGAGAGCTGGCTAGAGACCGAGTTTCTTTACGGCAGACCGTGATGAGAGCTACTTTCCGCAAAGGACCTGCTACATCATGATAAACGTAACAGAAAACGAAGCCATATAAGTATGAACTATAGTGATCCTCACAAAATCGAGGATATGCAAGGTAAAAAGAGAAGCAGAGAGCAGTAGAACGATGTGATGATCAATGGTTAGCAGCTCATAAAGAGGTAGATTCTTCCCAAAGCGATGAGGTGGCCAGTCTGCTATCAAAAGAGTAGGAAAGTGCACTAGACGAATACAATGCAGCGAGTATAAGAGTAATAAAACAGTCTGGAAAATTACCAAGCATACGGACACTATTATCCTAACTAGGCAACCGCTGTAAATTAGTAATGCAGTGGATACCTTCCCACTGTGGAGTTCCCGGAAACGAAAAAGCTGATAAACTAGCTAAGGAAGGTGCAACTGAAGAACAACCTAACATACCAGTCTCTTATCAACATAAGAAGAGAATGATCAAATCAATCAGAATGCCACCGAAACTGGCACAAGATGATTACCATATTATGGACAGACCAGAGCAAGTTATTATCCTTCGCCTTAGAACAGGGCACAATCGACTTCGCTCCCACATGTACAACAAATTTAAGATTGGCCAATCAGCCATGTGTACTTGTGGACTGGCACCTGAAACAACAGATCACATCCTTCAAGACTGTCCCAGATTCAACGCTTTCAGGCAAAACCTTTGGCCAAAAGAGACACTTGTGGAAGTCAAACTTTACGGGCCGCTTAGTGAATTACAAAAGACAGTGAAATTCATACTAGAGACAGCTTTGCAGATATAGACAATTTATTTCATGCGAACGAAACAAATAGAATAATAAAACAGCAGGAAATTCTCATAAGGGTGAGATTGGTGTATACTTTTCAAGAGATCTTCTAATTTCTCAAGGAAGAAATCTTTATGATGCAAGCAAAAAACTTAAAGCTGTGGTCACCTGATGATCATAGTGTAGTATAAAACAACTGGTCTTTCAATGCGGTCAGTGTCACCTCTTCTAGGCGTCTTACCATCTTGAGAGATATATAATGTGAAACAGAGAGATGACTATCATTGAACAATCTAAAGATCAAGGTGAGGATTAATTAACTTGCATTTTTAAAGATGGGAGTCCAGTGTTTGAATGTCACGGGTCAAGAGATGTTTACATAACACTGAATATAGAATAAAACAAAGAAAGCAAAGTATGAACGATTTGTGGATCAATGGTGGAGTATAAAACAACGTATCAATTTTGCCTCTTCTAGAGGTGTTCTCTTTGTCAATGACATAAACTACACAGAATGCTATAATGGTCAATGGTACATTATAAAACAGTATCCTAAAAGTGTTGATTCAGCAGCGGCTCTTCCGGCAAAGTCAGCTGATTTAGTCATCCTTGCCGCGACAACACATGACAAATCCTATAATCACCATGATAACCTGTGGAAAGAATAAGATGAGATTTTAAAATAAAAACTAATTTACTGTTGCTGGGATTTTTATTTCAATATTATTTGTTCACATGTTTGTTCAGCTGTTTGTTCAGGTGAGAACTGGTAATAAATTGTGCGGAAGACAAAAAGAACAGTAGCATACTTTAGTCAAAATGGGCGGAAAAAGGGGGTGGGGGGGGGGGTGGAGAGAAGAATACAGCAAAATACTACAGCCAGGAGGAGAGTAGCAAGGTGTAAAATTAAAGGCCCCAGCAGCAAGGCGGTGCAGCAAGTGTCTGTAGCAAGGAGGAGTAGCAAGAAGATCAACAGGGAGCCGCATACCCCGAGGAGCAACAAGGACGGGCGGCAAGGAGAAGTAGAAAGGATAAATAGAAACGAAAAGATGCAGAAACCACAAGAAAAATAAATGGCAAATGTACCAGTATCAGACAGAATAAACATAGACAGGCAAGAGTGTGGAGATTTTTTTTAAAGACATTTAAAAAGAACAAATTTTTTTATACTATACACTTTTATTACTCATCTTGCATACATCAATGTACTAAAAAGATATAAAATAATTTATAATATGGTATTTTGGGGACAAAATATTCACAATGACCTGTTTTATCAATTTTATATTCTATGTACACTTTAGCAGAAAAGTTAATGGGTATACAAGTTTAGCTAATTAACTTTACCAACAGTCATCGACTAATAAAAATATAACAGCTAAATCATATTTATAAAATGTCAGCGTAATAGCTTGCTGAGAAATAGTATAAAAATGGAACGCTGACTTTAGCCTAGACAAATTAACAAACAATTTCAACCATAATAAAAGCTTATAAAATTAGGAGAAGAGAAATGTCAGAAAGAGCGGCAACAAAACAATAACAAGATGAGCAAACAACAATAGAAACAGTGGAGATGGGGAAATATATAGCGTGAAAATAGTATGGCAAAAAACAAATTTAATCAGACAATCTAGCAGACGGCTGGAGGTTAGAGGGTGACAGAAACAATTTTCCGAAAAGTTGTCCTAGTGTTAAAGACTAAATTAGTTTGAAGTTCTCATATCTTGATGAGAGTTGGTACAATATGAGGTGGTTGGGGAAGAAGGGAGAGAAAAGGTTTACACGCCAAACTGTGTGTGATTTGTGTTATCTTAAATTGGTCGACATTGTTTGATAGTTGACATACTTTCGGGAAAAGATAGAGGTGGAGACACTTAAGGATCTAGGTACTGTTAAAGTTAGGTTACAATAATAATAACAATAATAATAATGAGCTCAGTGGGAAATAAATATAAGAATATACGTGTAATAAAAACGCATAATTCCCCCCCCCCCCTTTTTTTCTACATTTTTTTTTTGAGTGGGCGCCCCCGGCTTTGGCGCTCGTGATTAATGGTGATGAAAGTAATACTGGTGGTCGGAGTATTTCTTATTCTTCTGCTGCCTTCATCCCAAACTGTAATTGTGGTGTGCCCGTTTACAGACAACCTGGCTGCGATATTTGCCCCTTTCCGTCGTCACATCCGACTTCTGCAAGCATTTGTTCACCGGGTTAGCTTTTCCGGTTTTAATTTCAAGTTTTCATTTGTAATCATTGTTATAGTCAAGCCAGTAACTGAATGTTATTTGTTGTAATAATACTGCAGGCAGCAGTAGTAGTCGTTCGTTTTGTGGTAATAGTATTAGCGGTAGTTGTTGTTTTTGTTGTAATAATAGTAGCGGTAGTTGTTGTTTTTGTTGTAATAATAGTAGCGGTAGTTGTTGTTTTTGTTGTAATAATAGTAGCGGTAGTTGTTGTTTTTGTTGTAATAATAGTAGCGGTAGTTGTTGTTTTTGTTGTAATAATAGTAGCGGTAGTTGTTGTTTTTGTTGTAATAATAGTAGCGGTAGTTGTTGTTTTTGTTGTAATAATAGTAGCGGTAGTTGTTGTTTTTGTTGTAATAATAGTAGCGGTAGTTGTTGTTTTTGTTGTAATAATAGTAGCGGTAGTTGTTGTTTTTGTTGTAATAATAGTAGCGGTAGTTGTTGTTTTTGTTGTAATAATAGTAGCGGTAGTTGTTGTTTTTGTTGTAACAATAGTAGCGGTAGTTGTTGTTTTTGTTGTAACAGTAGTAACGGTAATTGTTGTTTTTGTTGTGACAATAGTAGCAGTAGTTGTTGTTTTTGTTGTGACAATAGTAGCGGTAGTTATTGTTTTTGTTGTAACAGTAGTAGCGGTAGTTGTTGATGGATTCATTACGTTCTCCGAAAAATTGTTATTTGAACGCTTGATCTATGTGCCGCAGTAGTCTGACCACCTCACTACAATGGATCCCACGTAATGGAGCAGGGACATTTTTATGTATTTATTTTTGTGTTGGAAGAATTAAATCTTCTTTGTATTTATTTTTCGTCCAAGCAAAGTAATTGTACTGCGTCTGTTTACAGCATAGCTGCGATATTTTCGCCCTCCAGCAGACACATCCGACTTCTTTGAGCATTTGTTTACGGGTTTAGCCTTTCCGGGGAAGAAACTTCAGAAACGACTGTGTCATCCCGGCTTTGAAAAATTGATTCATGGTTGTCAAGTGCATGCCTAATTCTCAAATAACCACAAGAGGATTGTGTAAACTGGTGTGTTCATGTAGCTATGGCAATCTCATTAGGTAGCTTTTGGCACCGACATAAATAGAACATAGGAAGGGGGAAATGAGAGGGAACATGGGCGACTGGGTCGCTCATTGGCTCGCCGGTAGACGACGACTTCGTCGCCGGTCGGGACAGTTCGGGTCTGTTTCCTAAAACACTTTAGGAGTCCTTTTGAATGTTGGTGGCGTGTAATGCTAAGCCATTTTATATGGCGCCCATAACCTAGTCACAATTATAACCTAACGCTCTCCCTTCAAGGATGCAGGCTCAACGTGACGATTTTTTTTTCTCCAGCAAAATAAAGCAAAGCATGAGAGAAAACCTCGGGTTAACTTCCTCACCCTACCCACCCCCATCACCTCCCTCCCTCCCTCCCCACACTTGGCCACTGACTTACTCTTCTTTTTTAACGTTTCCTACCCACCCCCATCACCCATCACCTCCATCCCCACAATTGGCCACTGACTTACTCTTCTTTTTTAACGTTTCCTACCCACCCCCATCACCCATCACCTCCCTCCCCACACTTGGCCACTGACTTACCCTTCTTTTTTAACGTTTCCTACCCACCCCCATCACCTCCCTCTCTCCCCACACTTGGCCACTGGCTTACTCTTCTTTTTTAACGTTTCCTACCCACCCCCATCACCCATCACCTCCCTCCTCACACTTGGCCACTGACTTACTCTTCTTTTTTAACGTTTCCTACCCACCCCCATCAACTCCCTCTCTCCCCACACTTGGCCACTGACTTACTCTTCTTTTTTAACGTTTCCTACCCACCCCCACGCCCCCCCCCCTTTTTGCAGGAATGCAATCTTTAGGATTACCATCTCCTTGAGTCAAAATGCGATAAATCTCAGAAAGCTTTTTCAACCGTTTTGCTTGGGTACTATGCAACGGTTACGACTGTAGTCTAGTGTGTTTTTCTGGGACTGATGAAGGCACATAAACATTTCTAGACAAGGAAAGGTTGGCTCAAGGAACTTATCCTAGTTTGGGAACATAAAAAATAATTATAA